AAAAAAAAAAAAAAAAGACATAATGACAGTGCCATACTTAGACTTAACTTAGATAGTTACTGTTATGTGATGCTCATCACGTTGACCTTAGCTAAACTTATGTTTGCTGATTAGAGTTACAGTGATGATAGGGACAAAAAAGAAAAAGAAAAAAAAAAAAGAAGGAAAACTCAATTATTTTCCACTAATAGACAGTGATAGAAAGTCTTAAGACTGCACCATGTCAAAGGTAGTGTTCTAGTTACCTAATGCTGCTCTAACAGAAGAGACCACCAACGGGATGCTTTAACAAACAGGAATTTATTCTCTTACAGTTTGTAGGCTTTAAGTCCAAGTTCAAAGTGCTGGGCTTTAGGGGGTGGATGAAAGACCCTCAACCTTGGGCTTTAGCTTTGCCTCCTGCTCCTGGCCCACTGAAGTTGGATGCTTTTCTTCACTCAGCTGCTGGCTGCTGACACTGACAAGCCCAAGGTTGACAAATAAAAAGGCACAGACTCGATGTTACCAAAACACATGACAGGCCATTAATTCAAGTCCATTAAAGGTCCCAAGTTTGGCAGAGCATGGCAGGCTACTTAACAATGACTTGGCTACCTGCAGGGTTCAAGAGCTATAAGCTACAGACTATTCCCCAGGACTTCTCCTTATTTACAAGAAGCAGATCACATTACTAAAGCAGCTACTCAGCTGCTTACAGTATATTCCACCATGGAGTTGATTACCAGTCTCATCATGGGGAATATGACATCCAGTTGCCCAGCCACTCAACCAGGCCCAGCCAACTTGACACACAAACTTAACTACCACAGGTGGAAAACTTATGAAATCAGAAAAAAAACAAGGCAGGCCCATCAAGTTCCGGCTTTCATTGGTTTTACTGTGTAACTAAAATAGCTAAAAATCACAGAGTTCATAGGATAGACCCTCTTAACTCTCTGTCTCTAGAATGTGAGGGAACTGCCTTTTGGAAACAAGTGGAAAGAGTGCTTTTGAAATCATGCTATATGATGTGTAGAAATTGCCAGCTGAAACCCTCTAGGAATACCTTATGCTATGAAAACGTACCAATGTTTTTCTTGATTTTTATGTCACAGTGGCATCAAATCACCTATTGACTGAACACAGTCAAGCCATTTCTATTAGACAAATCACTTACATTTAGACTTAATGAACATTTACTGAAATTAAGAATTTTCTTCTTCGCTGAGTGTTTTCTCATTGCTATCTCCCTTTTAAAGATAAGGAAATGGAGGCCAATAATATGAAAATCTATTAAACAAAGACTTGCTTTTATAATGCTATAAATGAAAAAAATGTCACACATAAAGCTTGCATACATATTTATTAAGCTATATCCCAGTACATGACTGAGGAACTATAAGTACAAAGGGGAAAAAAAGACCTCAGAGTAGCCCAAATCAATGTCAGAGTCCTCATAAAATAGCCCCCGCCTCAGACCGCTCCTCAAAGTCTGCTGTTATTTTTCACATGATTCTAAGACATTGGGTTATCTGTTATTCATTACAACACAGAAGGCAAAAATCAGGAAGAGAAATGCCACAAGGATACACTCTGTGAGCAGCAAGTCTACCAAAACCCACTGCCATCGAGTCAATTCAGACTCATAGTGACCCTTTAGGACAGAGTAGGACTGCCCCATAGGGTTTCCAAGGTTGTAAATCTTTACAGAAGCAGACTGCCTCATCTTTTTCCCACAGAGCGGCTGGTGTGTTTGAACCACTGACCTTTTGGCTAGCAGCTAAATGTTTTAACCACTATGCCACCAGAACTCCTTACAAAGTGTACAGCTATGGAGAAAAAGAAAACAATAAAAAGAACAGGTCAGTCTGGGGCCATTTACCATCAGTAACTGCCAGGCCTTGAGAGTTTATGATAACAACCAAATAGACTGTTCTCTGCTCTCACTGATGCCCTTCTCCAAGTGTCCGGGATGGTCTCTGCTCATCAGATCATCAAGATCATTACTCACAATACTAACTCACTTAAAACACTACTTAGAGAATGGATCAATGAATTGTGGTGCATTCAGACAATGCCATCCTACTCAGCAATAAAAAGGAATGAGTCACTTCTGAGCAGAACAACCTCAACAACATTATGTTAATGGGGAAAAAATCTAGATACAAATGAGTTCATGTGTATGATTCCTTTGTATGAAATTCTAAGCCAGGCAAAACAAACTTATGATGATAGAAATCAGAAACTAGTTCATTCTTGGGGATGGAGAGGATTAACCAGAAAAAGACATGGAGGAACTTTCTGAAGTGATGGGAATGTTCCCTATCTTGTTTGGTATGGTGGTTACACAGGTGTACACACAGGTGTATAAGGTCAAAACTTATCAAACTGAACACTTAAGACCTGTGCCTAATACTGTATATTAATTATAAATCAATTAAAATTATTAAAAACAAACAAACAAAAAAAGATATAGATTAGTGGAATGGGCCAGCTTACCTCTTGTAAGTACAGTATCATTTACTGGTGTGCAACAATGCCATAGGGCTAGATGATTAAAATTAAGATGACAGCTTTTTACAAACTTGGCCAAAACTGTACAGCCCAAAACATCATTTTAAACTGCAACAAATCTGAAGACATTTCACAATCTTGCCTATTATTGTGGTTGACGTCTGCATTTTCATTTAATGTTCCTTGCAGGCCCACACACATACAGATGTTTTATCCTATTTTAGCAGAGAGTAGAGTCGTCAGCAATAGGACAATGTAATATAAAAAATACAGGTAATTTTCACCCCTTATCATCTAACTAAGTACCATGCTGCCACTCACAGGGGCTTTAATAGCACATGCACATAAGCAATACTAAGGCCTAATGGACAGAGTGGGCTTCCATCTATTATCTTAGCTTTACTCTGGATCCTTATCCTCATCTGAAAAGTGGGGAACCGATTTCTTTGCAACAACGTTGTCCAGTCTCTGTCCTTGCAGATAGGGATTGACACTCTATGGGACAAAAAAAAAAAAAAAAAAAGTAAGATTAGGTATTGCATGTAACCATCAGATACAAACATCACACAAATGAAAGTGAAAGAGAATTATTTCTGGCTTAGAGGGTTAACAACAAGGTTAATGGGGTGCCTAAACCAACTCACTGCTGTTGAGTCAATTACGACTCCTAAAAACACTTTAGGGCAGAGCACAACTGCCCCATAGGGTTTCCAAAGCTGTAAATCTTTATGGAAGCAGATTGCGTCTTCTTTCTCCCATGGAGTGGCTGGTGGGTTCTTACCACTGACCTTTTGGTTAGCAGCCCAATGCATTAACCAGTGTGCCACCAGAGCTCCTTCATGGGATACCTAAACAACAAAAAAAAAAACACAAAAAACCAAACTCACTGCTGTTGAGTTGATCCCAACTCAGAGTGACCCCTCCTTGGGTTTCCGAGGCAGTATCTCTATGGAAGTAGATTGCCCAATCTTCCTTCTGAGGAGTGGCTGGTGGGTTTGAACTGCCAGCCTTCTGGTTAACAGTCAAATGCCTTATGCACTACGCCACCAGAGCTCCCATGGGGTACCTACCACTACTAAAATGATTACTCCAGTGCATTCACCAATGTCTTAGTGGCTACAGAAATATTGTCTAACAAATGTATGTGTCTAATTGTGTCTACCATACAATTTTAGAGTTCCTTCTTTATCAGATATAATTTTATTTATTTATTAGTGCAAAGATTTGAAGTGAATAGCTAATAAGTTCTTGCTATTAACTTAGTAACCCCTATGTTAAGGAGAATTCCTATTTTATGGCCCTATTTAGGTGAATAAAGGAATCTGAAACTCATTAAATCATTTTACAAGAAGAATGTTCTAAAGAAGAAGACAAGGAAAGGCTATGTGAGAATAAGCATCTAAAGAACTGGTCACAGGATCATCTTGTTGCTATGGTTGATTCTTGCATGTCAGTAGTTTACTAAAGAGCATTCATCAGGGGCTCCAGCTATCATTTCCATCTTCCCTCAATCAAATCTAAAACCTGAAGAAAAGAAAGACGTTATCTGGAAGGCTCCTTTATGTTTGACTCAAGACTCTATATGCTGAAATATCTTTCAACTGTCAGTAATCTGAGTGAGTCAAGGTTTTTCCATTCCTTCTCTAATATACGTCTATTCTTTGAGGTTTGGCTTTGAACTAGTAATTAGAACTTCACAACATAGTCTTTAGCAAGCAGAAGAAAATTCAAAAGTTTTAGAAGATATTTGTTTATTGAAGATGACTTCCAATAACTCAACAAAAATGTAAAAAAGAAACTGTATTTACAAATGATTAGCTATCCAGTTGCATGCCAAGTCCCCATGAACAAATGGAGGCAGTCATAGGTGGAACTCCCTTGCCTCTGGGCTGCCATGACTCTTTTGAAGAGTGAACACACATTCTCCCAAAGAGAAGGAATGGAACCTGAGTTTATTATCTGTAAATGTCCTTCTATATTCTGACAGGTAAAATCATAAATCATGAAGGACTTTGCAAAACTCAGTTGTATCACAAACAAGTGGAGAATTACAAAATATGAAATGTCCTCATACATCTGAAAGGTGACATGTCACAAAAAGACAGTATTTTGCTGGGAAGTTGTTGTTGTTGTGTGCCGTCAAGTCTGACCCGACTCACAGAGACCCCTCCTTGGGTTTCCGAGGCAGTATCACTACGGAAGTAGATTGCCCCATTGCTGGGAAGTAATCTTTACAATATTTAGGAAAACAAAAGTGCTTTTATATTAGAGAATGTCTACAAGAAGATCCTGGCCTATCCCATGGAATCATATCACAATGTTTCAATAGGTGGGGCAAATGTGGACTGAAAAAGCATATTCAATATCATAAATATTTTTATTGACATTTAGTAACAATATTTATCCTGAAATTTCAAATATATTAAAAGAGGATGAGATTTTCATGTTTATCAAGCATGAGATTAAAAGGTTGATAAGTATTCAACTAGAGCAATGTTGTTGTTAACTGTTGCCAAATCAGTCCATGACATATTGCAACCCCATGCACAGACCAGAGGTTCCTGTGCTATCCCCGTGATCATTTACAGACTAGACCTTAGTGTTTTCACCGATGGTTGATTTTTAGAAATAGATCACCAAGACTTTCTTCCTAATTTTAGTGTGGAAACGCCACTAAAACCTGTTCAGCATCACAGCAGCACACAATTCTCTAATAACAGAAAGGTGGTAGTCAGCCATTGAATCTACGCCTCCCATGTGGAAGGTGAGAGAATTCTATCACTGAATCACTAATCCTCCAAAATAAGATAAATGGTAGATCTTAAATGCTAATAAGATACAGCTCAAGAGTTAAAAGTTTGCACGTTAAGGATTTGTTGACCTTTAATTCATGAAGCAACTAGGAATTCAATTGAATTTGATCAAGTATAGAAAGTCACATAAAATCTGGGTCTCTGTTGTAACTTTGGGAGAACTCCCCTTAGTAAGGGCCTTTCATGGGAGAATTTTATATTACACTTCCTGCTAAGACCCAGAAATTCTAAAGTTAAGCAGAGAAAGGAAGTAAATTAATGAAGAAAAAAGAGGAACAATAATTTGAACCTTTTTGATAAATGTTTAACTATTGATTTAAAATTCAAACTTAAAAGTAAAAGTAATAATAATAGGGATATTTGGTTTTAATTATCCTCCAAAGAACTCAAAGCACTTCCATATTTATCTTCTCACGTGGGTGAGAGACTGGTTAGGTCTAACAGAGAATATTCTTCCCATTTCACAACTGGAGAAATAAAAATACAGAGGCCTTGGATCAAACAATTCACCAAAGTAGAGCCAAGTGCAGCCCTCAGGTACAATGCAAAATGTGCCTGGTGGTACGTTCATCTGGATGGATTTTTATCTGGAAGAACCATTGGTATTGGATCTTTGCTTCTGATGTCCTCTGAAAACCCACATAAGATGCTGAGCTTCATTGAAGGAAGCTTTGATTTTTGTAAAAAAGTTAATCTGTAATTTCTTAATTTTGATTCATGGACTTGAGGGAAGTGGTAAAGGTCTTAAATCAAGATGGGAACACCATATGGGGCCTAATAATGGGGGAAGCAACTCTGTTTCTCCATCAGGTTCAAGGGGCCCATGGTTTATGGCAAGAGCATGAGTCTTTGCAAACACTTGAGAAAGGAAGAACTTGATACCTCTAGGTCGAAATGACCCTTATTTTCATAAATTCTAAGACTTCTCCTATGTGGAGGAAGTTGAGGCTAAATTAAGATCCTTTATAATATGTGTCTCTGCCAGAATTCTGAATTTTGGTAATCATTGGTCTCATGGAAAAATGACCTAAATTGTGACCCACAGTCACTGGCTGAGTCAAGGCAGAAGAAATGAGGGGCTAGGAAGTAAAGACAATTAGATTTTATTCATTTTGGATCAGTCATTGGTCTTATCTGAAAGGTGTTTTTTTTGGAAATGTGCTTATTGTGCCTTGGGGGAGATATTCCTTGGCTGTCCTACTGGCAAATTATGTGTATTTTGAGCACCTAGAATAGAATTTCTTGATGTTGTCTCAAGACCACATCATCACACCCTTTGGACTCTTCCTGCCACTCTCTGCCATTGGAAGCTGTAATCACCCAAGAAAAACCCCTAATATCCCTCTAACTCTCCCAAAGATCAGTTTCCAGACATTAAAAAGTTCTGCTTCTTTCATAAAAAACTGGCTGCAGGCCATCTGGGTTTTGTCAAGCAGCAAAGGGGCTTGGAACCCTCTGTTGTGGGGACATGAGGATTAATGCTGAGGCCAGAAAATCCACACCTCTTAAAACACTTTCTAAATGGATCAGGCAAAGCTATTCAGAATGACCACAATGACCATTGTCTAGATTCCCAAGTGTTGCCAGGATTCAGGCACTTGCTATTCTGAATAAACAGTCAGCAGCCTTTGGTCTATGGTTTCCTGTTTGCATGTTTTAACTAAAATGGTTACCACCCATAGCACTTTGCCATGTAATTGTTGTTGTTAAGGGTTGTCAAATCAGCCTCTGACTCATGGCAACCCCATGTACAACAAGATGGGACCACTGTGATCCAAGGGTTTTCATATTGGCTGATTTTCAGAAGTAGAGTGGCAGGCCTTTCTTCTTAGTCTGTCTTAGTCTGGAAGCTCTGCTGAAGCCCATTCAGCATCATAGCAACATGCAAGCCTCCACTGACAGATGGCTGGTGGCCATACATGAGGTGCATTGGCCAGGAATAGAAGTCAGGTTTCCCACATGAAAAGTGAGAATTTTACCACTGAGCTACCACTGCCCCCTTGCCATGTAATACCTGGATGTTCATTTTTTCCTCTATTTGAACAGAACAGGATGATGATAGGTGGCCGGACCTTCTGTCAAGGGAGGTATTGGTTGATTAGCAGAATGGACATCCATCCTTTGTTAAATCTCAGTGCCATGAAATGCCCTGGGAATCTAAAGCCAATTCAACATTCATCTTTGCATGAAGCAACACCATAGAAGCTAAATGCAGAGCACCTAGATGAAAGTCCAACCCTGCACATCCCTAGGAAGGTTAATAACTAAGCATGCAGTATATTCAACAGTCAGCAAACAAATATAATAGACCTAATAGATTTGATGTTCTTCTGGTTAGGCCAAGAAGAAAGATATATAGGAGGAATGAGATTTGTTCATCCCATCTTTTGGCCCTAATTCCTTCAAAACTCTTGCCTGGAGCATGCAGTTTAGCACTTTTCTATTCCTGCCTGTGTTTCCACATAATTGGTGGAGATGTATGAGCAGTTTCCCCCATTGGCCCTTGTACTCTTTGAAGAAAGGCATAAACTCATGGTGAGAGTGATTCAGTATATAATTACTGAATATAATGGAGGTGATGGAAGCATTACAGGACTAGGGGTTCCACTAAAAATCATGTGCTAAAGCTTGGGGAAACCACGGCAGAAACCAAGGATGGGCTTTCTGGGTACAGCCCTTGTTACACAGAACCACCTTTCTGCCTTCTCAAAGCTGCATGTGAAAGGATTCTGGTAATTTCCAATAACTGGGGGTTACAGTTTGTCAACTGGCCCCCTCAGGAAGCTCCGGGGATCCACACCACAACCCAGCCAGCTGTCTGTTACCCTTCGCCTTCGTCTCTGTCCTCCTTTCATCTTCTCATAAAGGAGTTTCTTGTTCTAGAGTGGAGAAAAGAGAAAACACAAATGCAGAAGTATGGATCAAATTTGGCGAATGCCTATTTTAAAAGCAATACTTGGTTTGTCCCCTGGATTTTTGCATACACATATTTTGGAAACAAAATCAGATTAAAAGAATGTTGTGTCAGAAAGACAGACCACAAGAGAAAAGCTGCTGGTTGTGTAGCTTTTAATAAAGTCCTCTGGAGGGTCCTGGGGGCACACCAGTGTCATCCACAACCATATAAACAGGAAAATACAGCATGCTAAAACACAGGGGGCGCTGGAAACCCATCTCCTCACTTTGAACAGCCTTTGTTTACAGCCAACAATTTTATCTCATTTTACTTTTTGTATCTCACTCTCTTTTTACAAACTGTACACATTTACTGTTCTCTAGAGGAGTGTCTGACTATGAATAACAATCCTCTATGTAAATAAATGAGACATTCTGACTTCTGCAATCATCCTTCTGTGACTGAAGTCAGTGCCCCCAGTCAAGACAATCGGAAAACCATTTGGTCTATAAGATTTTTAATAGAGTGAACCTTTTAAAAACTGCCAAAAAACTTCTTGGCAGAAAGGGAAGTTATGTTGAGGGGAGAAAAAAAAACTCTGTTACCACAGTTTGTATAAGTGTTTCCACATACTGCTGTATTTCAAACACACAGTGGACTTAAATGAGCTCTAGAATATCAGACACATGCTCAACAGATTTCCCCTCTATTGAGATTGTAAAGACAGAATGCTTAACCTGAAGGCAGAATGGCAGAACAGGAGCTGGAGGGCTTTACTTGTGTTGTTTTATTATTTGTGTTTTTAATAGAAAGGAAAACAATGTATAAAAGAAGTAGCTCATCTCACTCTAAATATAATAATTACATATATATGGAGAGAGAGAGCTAGAGAGAGAGAGAGGAGGCGACAGAAGACAGAATTCTAGTAAAGAACCGGTCTACGTAACACTTGTATCCTCTGAGCTGTCTGGTTATAAAGACTGCTTATTTTTTAATGGTAGATTTAGAGATGAAAATGACAAATGCCAAGAATGAGCTTCATGCTTTTCATGTTCATTAAAATATACCCCACTCACAACTTACAATGCATAACTCTTGCCCAACCTCAACTATGTAGGGAGGCTGCGCCAGGAAGTGAAGGCACCTCCAAAGCCAAAGAAGCTGCTGGTGCTGGCCACAGCCTCTATCTCCCGCTCACTTGCTAAATGGATGGCCTGACTATTAGGAAGGGAGAAAAGGGATGTGGAGCTCGTTCCCTCAAGGAAAGAGGGTGTGGTTGTGAGGCTCATTTTCTGTCTGTAGCTGTCTTTCTGTGGATACGACATCTCCTGATGCACAGAGAATGTCCTGGGAGTTGGTGCCAAAGGTAGGGATAGAGGTGCATTGAAGACAGAGACATCTTCCTATGTACCATCAAATTCAGCTGCCTATCATTACTCTTTGCCATCCAATTGATTCTGAACTCACAGTTCTACTCTATATAACAGAGTAGAACTGCCCCATAGGGCCTCCAAAATCATCTTTATGAAAGCAGACTGCCATATCTTTCTTTTACAGTGCAGCTGGCGGGTTCAAACCAAACTTTTTGATTAGCAGCCAAATGTTTAACTATGCTACCAGGGCTCCTTGTTCAACTGACTAAGATGGACAAATAAGTGATAGGTTCAGATAGTGTAATAGTGGGAGACTACTTTTTACTCTGAGCTCCATTATTGAATTCTGTCATTTGTGTAATAAATAACCTTAAGAATTAAATAGAGGAAGCTAGCTCTGGCTTAGATTGCAAGGTAAATATGATTACAGGGGTTAAGAGTGATATCATAGTGAGATATCATTGTTTTATTATTTGTGTTTTTAATAGAGAGGCAAATAACATATAAAAGAAGTGATTCATCTTACTCTAAATACAATACTCTGATATTAATTTTTTTAAAAAAGGAGATGACAGAGCCTGCCACAGGCTGGAATGTCTGGGCACAGTCCTCCCTGTTTGTTAACATCAACAACAGCATATAGTATTTCTGGATATCATTTTTGCAACACTGAGAGAGAATCCTTGTCCCTCATTTCATTCATGTCTCAGGCTCTGGCCATGATCAACTGCTTCAGTTTAACTAAAAGCCCTAATGCAAAGATGTGAAAGGAAATAACATTTACTTTATGAGTAAATCTTTTTTCACCAAAGCATCACACTTGACAATTAATGTGTAAAGAAGTAGGGTAACCAACATAAATAAACCAGGCTTTGGTTACAGCTACTTAATGCTGTGGGTATACCGGTTGTCCAGAGGGACCCATTAAAAGGGACGAGCCTTGAAAAGACAAGGGATTTACTCTGTCTTTAAAGAGCACCGGTGTTGGATGGTCTGGTTCAAACCCCAGCTCTGCCAATCATCAGGTCTGAGTGTTGGGCAGGCTACTCAACCTCCTGAAGCCAACATTTCCTCATGGGTAGAATGAGAGGAATAGGGATGGGCAGGTTAAAGGAGATAACTTATGTAAAATATTAAGCATAGTGCCTGGCACATAGTATGTGCTCAATAAATATTAGTTACTACAGACAGAACTCATTTTATTGCATGTCAATTTATTACACATTACATGTCGAAGATTTGTGGCAACCCTGCATTGTACAAGTCTATTGGCACCATTTTCCCAATAGCATGTGCTCACTTTGTGTCTCTGTGTCACATTTTGGTAATTCTCACAATTTTTCAAACTTTCTCATATGCTATTATATACTTAATAGATTATAAACCAAAAAACCAAACTTGCTGCCATCAAGTTGACCCAACTCAGAGGGACCCCTACTTGGGATTCTGAGGTGGTATCACTACGGAAGTAGGTTGCCCAACCTTCCTTCCAAGGAGTGGCTGGTGGGTTTGAACCGCCAGCCTTCTGGTTAGCAGTCAAATGCCTTAGGCACTATGCTACCAGAGCTCCTAATAGATTATAGTAAATGTAATTTTTACACACACTAGGAAACCAAAAAATTCATGTGACTTGCTTTATTGTGATATTCACTTTATTCTGGTGGACTGATACTGGATCCTGATTATCTTCAAGGTGCGCTGGTTAAGTGCTCAGCTGCTAACATAGACAGATTGGCTGTGCAAGCCCACCAGCCACTCCATGGCAGAAAGATGTGACTGTCTGCTTCCGTAAAGATTTGTAGCCTTGGAAACGCTATGGGGGCAGTTCTACTCTATCCTGTAGGGTTACTGTGAATTGGAATCAACTCAACAGCAATGGGCCTGGTTTTTGTTATTATTCATCTTTGTGTTCCCATCATCTAGCACAGGCTCTGGTAGGCATATGATGTGCATTTATTAAATATGTCTTGATGTACTAAACACAAAAAATAAACACAGGAAACAAAATAGATGCTAATATCATCTATGCATCACTAACTTGGGCAAATGTCACAAACAAGGAAGCGTTATTGGCAAATAAGAAATCAGGACCTTGTGTACAGTTTGACTAAGAGTTAATTACTTTGTTAGCTTAAAGGATGGTGTGGACAAGCTTGACTCTCTCAGTCTATGTAAACACTGTAAACACTGAGGGGAAAGCTTGTGGGCCCCAATTTGGAAAAGCAAGTCATCCTCAATTCACACTTCCATGTGAAGATCAAGAAATCATGCTTTACTGCTAGGTGGTAATGAGAAAACAAACAAGGAAACTTAAGTTTAAACAAATACATGATTACAAATAATGAAAAGTATGTAAGTAAGCATTTTTTCTGACCAATTGTCTGTGATAGTATTTCCTTTTGCATAGAGTTCTAAATTCTAATCTTTAGCTCTGATGTATACAATGAATGGGAATGACTGAGAGAAAAAAAACAGTATTTAGAGAAGGAAAGAATAAAAGATGGAGGTTGGTCTCTTATTGAAGGCCTAGGAGTGTGTGGAATTTGGTGAAAGAAATCTGTAAAGGCTTTCAAAAACAGGTAAGGAAAACTGGAAAGAGAAAGTTTCTATATCTCTCCTACTTCCTCATACCACCAGTGGGCTCGCCACCCTTACTCAGGACTCTTTTTTTAGACAACCTTCTTACTTCATTTTCCTCACTTCCAACATGTTTAAACTCTATTGGCAGCCTTGAAAATGGCTCCACAAACTGATCTTCCCTAACAGACCTTATGAAAAGGTCTGCTTATGAAAAGAAGAGAAATAGAATAAAGCATATTACCAACAAGTTGTCATTACGTCAATTCTGACTCATGGCAACCCCATGTGTGTCAGAATAGAACTGTGCTCCTTAGGGTTTTCAATGGAAGTAGATCTCCAAGCCTTTGGGTAGTAGATTTCTGAGGCACTTTTGGGTAGGATTAAATCTCCAACCTTTTTGTTAGCAGCCAAGTGTGTTAACCATTTGCACTCCCCAGGAATTCCAATGCATAGTAGAGAAAGTAAAATTAACTTACTGCCCTTGAGTCATTTCCAACTCATAGCAGCCCCTCCTTGGGTTTCTGAGGCCATATTTCTACCGAAGTAGATTGCCCAATCTTCCTTCTGAGTGGCTGGTGGGTTTGAACCACCAGTCTTCTGGTTACCCTTAGGCACTATGCCACCAGAGCTTCTAAAATTAACTTAGGTGGTAGTTTTGTTTGGTTGTTTTAAGATTAACTTAACACTTGCACATTCTGATTGCAGAGTGAACGAGTCTCAGTGTGATGTCGATGCAAGGTGCTCAGAAAATGAAAGTGGTTATTAATGAGGAGGGTATCTTGCTTTAAACTAGCACAGAAGGAAGAGAGGTAGTTTAGGCTTGAGACTTCAATATTCCCAGTAAAATAGGAAGCAACGTCATCAGCTAGCCGTGAGCTGAGATGGGATCAAGGGCTTTGAAGGGCTTATGTAGTTTGGAATATCTGTTCATTTAGTCATTCATTCACTCATTCCAGAGAGGTATTGACCACCTACGATTATCTGTGAATTAACCCTCCTAAGTACTTTCCCACTGCTTACAAGGCTTCAGTATTTCATTACGTAGGCCTAACCACAGGAACACAGACACACTTCAGTCAACTTTGATCTTGTTTGGCTCAATACTCTAGCATGTAATCTTATTGAATCCCAACCGTCATCCAGGGTTATCCCTTCCAACTTTGTGTCATCCTCTGAAGACCTAATAAGTATACACTCTATATTTTTATTATAAACATTGATAAAAATGTGGAGTGGGGTAGCACTAAGACATTCAGGATAGGATGTGAAATCTCTCTCCTAGTGGATGCAGACTCTGTTAACAAGACCTCTTTTGGTGCTGTTCTGTCACCTGGCCTGTATCTCTTCACCTCTAACAGGAGATCATGAAAAATCTTGTCAAATATTTGGTGAAGTATAAGTGTGCCATGCTTCCATCATTTCCCTCATCAAGCTGGCAAGTAAATGAATAAGATTGGCAAATAAAATAACACAATTATATTGACAAGACTTGTTTTTACCAAACCTATGCCAAATAATCATGATTTCTCCTTCCAAGTGTTTAGCTTATAAACAACCCCTTTACTGAAAGCCAGGGATTCCTGCCTGGGACAGAAAGCAAGGTCACCACTACACACTTTGGAAATTTCCTTCTTTTTTTGTAAAGAAGAATTACGTCTGTGTCTAAACTTCTGGGATTTCTTTCCATGATTCTGCAGAGAACACCTCTCTTGGTCTAGAGATCAGATTTGCAAATTTTCTTGGCAATCTTTTTTTTTTTTAATATCATACTTTTAGATAAAATTCTTTAAGAGTTTCATTTGACACTGGTGAGACTTTAGACTATGTTATGATACAGGCTGGAGAGTAGACTGGACTAGAAGACTCTGGACAATGTAGCTGATGAAGTTGGTATAGGTTGCTGACTAGATACATAAGAGCAGTGTGGAATGGCAATGACTTAAAGTCCCTCTAGGGCAGAGATTTCTGAAAAATCAGCTTCTAAATAATTTTTCTTCTCTTCCCCCAACCCATTTGCTCATCTTTGCCACAAGTACCTTCAGCATGCCAGAGTGAAAAATCTACTAGCAATTAAGATTGGTACTTACCCACTTGCCCAAGCCTGGATAGTCATGTTCCGGATCAAAAAGGTGTTGGTGCAACTGGAATTCTCTACTGAACTCAGCTGTGTCAGGAGTGTTTTCGAGACATCCATCATCATCTACTGCAAACAGCCAAAAGTTTTTGAGGAATGGCCAGGGAATTTATCTTTACTGTAAGAGTTAATTTATTTAAAACAACTAGACACCCAAAGGTCAGGGTCTATTCATATGATCTGCTCTAACTCACCTTCTCTCTGTATCTAGTATTCCTGTTGGATGGAACTGGTCATCCCAAACGCCCACTCTTCCTCCTACCTGTGGCACATACTGGTTGGCTGTTTACCAAACTAATTTCCCTTTTCTCCTTAACACACAGACTCATTTCCCAGCTTTGCTTCGCAATGAGGTGGTATAATATGTCTGAGCTTAGGCCAACAGAATGTAGTTATAAGTGATGCACTCAATTTCCAGGCCTGGCCCATAAAAATTTCCCATTTGATCCTCTACTGCCCACCCTCTGGCCCCATCTACTGGTCTGCTAGCTCAATGTTGCTGATTAGGGCAAGCAGAAGCCACGTGAGAAGATGCCTATCTAGGTGTCTGAATGACCTGAACCTTCCGCCCCCACCTCACCAACCTCTGGCAGGACTTCACACAAGCGAGAAATAAACTTCTCCTGTGATAAGCCACTAAAATTTTTTGTTTGTTATAACATCAAGTATCTCATTCACTAATATACTTCCATCCTACTCATCCTGTCTCACTGTTTTCTCTTGGGTGTTGTGAGCTCTTTAGAAACAACTTCAGCTTCTCAGAGAAAGTACATTATGCAAGTACAATAACAATCACCAGGTAGTACCATTATAGTGGTAACGGGGTAAACTTTAGATTCAAACTGACCAGGGCTAAAGGCTCAAATCCCAGCTCCTAAGTGATAAATAGGCTTCATTCCTAGGGAAAGTTAACTTAGCCTCTCCATGTCCATTTATTTATCTGCACTAGGAATAATACAATACTTAGAATCATACATAGAGCACCTGGCAGTAGTAGGTTTACAGTATGCTGTAGTTTATCTCCTACCATCTCCCTTAAATGCCAGTTTATACTAAAAATGCTCTTTGAAATAAAGCATGTCCTCTACTGAACCCAAGAAAGAAGTTTATCCATCTTGGCTGCTGCTTTTCCCTAAGTCCTATCAATATTAGGCACAGTGCTTTAAAGATGAGTCATCTTCCCCATCTCTAATGTGCCTTATAGGAGCTCTGGTAGTGTAGTGCCTAAGGCATTTGACTGCTAACCAGAAGGTTGGTGGTTCAAACCCACCAGCCACTCCTCAGGAGGAAGATTGGGCAATCTACTTCCATAGTAATACAGCCTTGGAAACCCAAGGAGGGGTCGCTATGAGTCAGATCTGACTCAACGGCAGTGAGGTTTTTTTTTCTTTTAATTGCTTTGTTGTTGTTGTTGTTGTTGTGTACTGTTGAGTCTATTCCAACTCAGTTAGCAGCCAAGTGCTTAACCATTGCACCATTGACTCACAGAGACTCTATAGGACCAAGTAGAGCTGCACCATAGCATTTCCAAGACTATAAATATGCCTTGGACAACAGAAAAGAAAGGGGGTGGGGGTGGGAGTGTGAATTGCATGCAGTGATGGGGGAGGAAATAGTGTCCCTTTTCAAAAAGGTACCGAGACATCAAAATAAATGCTGAAAAGGGTCTATTTACCACTAACCAGGTACTCTAGTTTCTTGATACAGTTTGAAGTCTTCCTGTAGCAGCTGTAAACATCTATAGCCTCTTAGCTCTTAGCAGTACCAAGCTAGTGTGGAAGACATTAGCATTTTGAACAAACCTCTAATGTGGCTTTAATGTGTCTCTCCACACTCACAGAGCATATATTTATCTAAGTTTTTCACCTACAGCAATTAGCATGTACAAAAGGAAAACCAAAAGAAGAGTTCAGGGACAGCTTGCATATAGAAGCTTTGTATAATCTGAATAATCACTTCTCAAGTGCCTTTGAGTGGACCCAGAGTGAGATGTAGAGATACGGTCCTGCTCTGGGAATCCAAAGTATCTGTGTCTGAATGTGCACCCTGGAATTCACGTCCTTTTCTGAGGCCAAGAGATAGATTCTTTGAGCTCTGCTGCTCTATCCAAAGTGAATGTGCCATAATTCAGAGGAGGCCATGTCATGGGAGATGGAAGTTAAGGTTTTATTCTCAGATTTCTCAACTCTGGACCAAGCCATTTCTCAAGTAATTTCTTACAAATTTAGCAAGGAATTCCCTTTTTAGAATGAAAATTGTGGCAGAACAAAGATTGAGAAATATGCTAGCTTAATGGAAGGATACCAAAGGAATTGGCAAATAACATATGAGCAGACAAGACCTGAGGGTTGGATAAAAATCCAACTATATCAGCCCACCTTGATTGCCCTTTGTTGTTGTTGTTGTTATGTGCCGGCGAGTCGACTCCGACTCATAGCGACCCCTCCTTGGGTTTCCGAGGCGGTATCACTACGGAAGTAGGATTGCCCAACCTTCCTTCCGAGGAGTGGCTGGTGGGTTTGAACTGCCAGCCTTCTGGTGAGCAGTCAAGTGCCTTAGGCACTATGCTACCAGAGCTCCTAGTGGTTCTCAATAGGAGCTCTGCTAGCGTACTGCCTAAGGTACTTGACTGCTAACCAGAAGGTGGGCAGTTCAAACCCACCAGCCACTCCTCAGAAGGAAGGTTGGGCAATCTACTTCCATAGTGATACCACCTCAGAAACCCAAGGAGGGGTCACTATGAGTAGGGTCCAACTTGATGGCACATAACAGCACAGTGGTTCTCAAACTTTAGTAAGCATCAGAACCAAGTGGAGAAAATTGCTGGGCCCCACCTCCAGAGTTTCTGATTCAATAGATCTAAGGTACCAGTACCAGTACTTTTGACCCTGAGTTGACTCAGATTCATGGCAATTCCGTATATGTAGTGTAGAACTCTGCTCCGTAGGGTTTTCAGTAGTTAATTTTCCTAAAGTAACTGACTAGGTCTATTTTCCAAGGTGCCTCTGGGTGAACTTGGACTTCCAGCCTTTTGGTTAGTAGCCAAGCATCTAACTATTTGCACCACCCAGGGATAGGTCTGGGATAGGGCATGAGTATTTGCCTTTCTAACAAGTACCCAGGTGATGCCAATGTTGCTGCTCCTGGGACCACACTTAAAGAATGATTGCAGTGCACTGTGCCTAATCAATTTAACCACATCCCTAAGGAAATTGTTGCTCTTTAAACTCTGAACAGGTCTTTTCCTCCAACCCATCCAAAAGCCTACAAGCAAGTAAAATGTGGCTGAAGCAATTGGAGCTGCACAGTGATTCACGTTTTCCTGCAGTCCTGTGCCAGCAGTCTCACTTTGGCTTGGCCATATCCAACCACTTTGATTGTTCTGTCCCAAAATGGAGGCTCTAGGCTCCAAGGAAAATAGAAACTTCATCCTAAACTAAAGGAGGAATACTCTCTTTCAGAGAGAACCTACATTGAGTTTAAGAAAAGCTGAAGGGCCAGTACTGTCAGAAATGTCAGAGTAAGGCAATTAGTCATGATGGTTGAGTGCATGGTCCTGAACCATGTGGACCTGGGTTACATGGATAGCCTTGGGAAAGTTACTCTCTAAGCTTCAGTTTCCTTATATGTGAAATGGGGATAATAAATACCACCTCATGTTATTGTTGGACTTGAGGGAAAAAGATTACTCTGGTGCTAGAAGGTAACACAAAACCAACAGAAGAGGTGCTTTTTTCACTAATGGCTAAGGACCTTTAGCTAATTATAATCAGAATGAAATTTGAGTGTGATAGGTTCTGTACTAAATGCTTTACATAGATAGTTTCATTTAATTCACACAAAAACCTCCATTTTACAAATGAGGATACCTAGGTACAAAGTAGTTAATTAACTTGTTCAAGGTCACATAACTCGACATTGGGTTTGAACCCAGGTAGTCTTAACACTGCTCTTAACCATCAAGGTAAGTTGCTCAAAGCCCATAAGTTAGCCCACCCACCATTCACTTTGGTTTTAGGGATAAGAAGGGGAGAAAATGAGAGGGGTCCCTGAATAGTATGAAAAGTTTCAGCCTTCTTCCTTAAGTAATCTCTTACTTCTCTGGACACCCTCTCTCCCATGCTACCCTCTCCAAATAAACATTTTAAGACAGATGCTAACAGTAATAGAGTTGAAATGTCAATTATTAAGTAAAGAAAATAAAAGGGCATGGATTATGCATAAACTAAACAACTAGTTCCAAAGACACTAAAGTTTGGCAGCAGTTATACTGAGAAAGAAGAACTGAGAAAACAAACAAACAAACAAACAAAAAACTCCCTTTTTATTAAAAAAGGTAGCAAGTGGAAAACAAGAGCATTAATTCCAAAATAGGGAGGGAGACGGAAGTTAAAACCTTGGCAAGTAAGCCCTATATGAATTTATCTGAGCATTAGAACTCATACAAAGGTTCTGGAATAAACTTCCCTTTTACATCTAAATACATAGGCACTCATCAGAATAGAAATAGTACTATTGGAATATTAGTAGCTGATGCTGGAATTTCTAATTTCTTCCCAAAGCCTCTATATTCCATAGGAACCCAAGGATTTGTCCATTACCTGTTTTTCCAACAGGACAGGGATTTGGAGGGTCTGGGTAGCCCTGATCCTCACTAAAGTCCTTAGGAATGTTGTCACCAGTCAACTCTGCCACAATGTTGGGAATGTTGCCGAAAGGACCCAAATGTTGCAGACCCTCATGAGCTCCACCTGTTAGGAAATTAGAAGTAGTGCATTTCAGTTAAATTAATTTCAGCTAATATTTATTCAGGTCTACCATATGAACAAACATCCTGTACTATGCTGAGGAGAGAGAAAAATGAATGAAACAGACTCTGCCCTCTGAGGATTAAAAAACTTAGTTGTGGATACAGACACATACTGTACATAATCATTTCCACACAAAGCAAATCATATACATACTATAATAGCTCTGGTGGTGTAGTGCCTAAGGCATTTGACTGCTAACCAGAAGGCTGGCAGTTCAAACCCACCAGCCACTCCGTGGAAGGAAGACTGGGCAATTGATTTCAGTAAAGATTTGCTGCCTTGGAAACCCAAAGGGGGTCACTATGAGTCAGAATTGACTCGATGGCAGTGAGTTTAGTTTTTGTTTTTTAACACTGCATTATGGGAGCATAGAAGTGGGAGAGTTTCAGTTAGCTGATGGGATTGGAAAGGTTTCTTGGACAAGTTGGAACTTGAATAATGTGGTCACAGATGGGTAGGCTGTGGTAGCTGAACATGGAGTTGGGGGTGAGGATGGAAGGGGAGGTAACTGCCATGCCGACACAAGAACAGACTGAAATAAAGCTTAATTTAAAGAAAAGCAGATAACAAAAATAATCCACCTATCATCTTGCCATTCTAGCTCAACTACTTAAATGTTGGTGTGTTTCCTTCCTTTATTTTCTTCTTGGCATATCTTTTCATTGTTGTTGTTGTTGTTAGGTGTTGCTGAGTCAGCTTTGACTCATAGTGACTCTATGTACAACAGAAGGAAACACTGCCTAGTCCTGTGCTAGCCTCTCATTCCTTACTATACCTGAGCCCATCATTGCAGTGACTGTGTCAGTCCATCTTGTTGAGGACCTTCCCCTTTTCTGCTGACTCTCCACTTTACAAAGCATGATATTTTTCTCCAGGGAATGGTCCCTTTTGACAATGAAGCTAAAGTAGGTGAGATGAAGTCTGGCCATTCTCGCTTCCAAGGAGCATTCTGGCTGTGCTTCTTCCAAGACAGATTTGTTTTTCTTGCAGTCCATGGTACTTTCAGTGTTCTTTGCCAACAGCACAACTCAAAAGCATCAACTCTTCTTTGGTCTTCCTTATTCATTCAGCCCCAGGGATACAGGTGAGGAGAGACAACTCAGGGACGCCCAAAGCAGCAGGCCGGAAAAGCAGGAGAAAGGGGATTAAAAGCCAGGAACCTGGACAGAAGAGCAGTCAGCCCCAGGGGTATAGGTGAGGAGAGACAACCCAGGGACACACAAAGCAGCAGGCCAGAAGAGCAGGAACAAGGGAATTAAAAGCCAGGAAGCCAGAGACAAGAGCAATCAGCCAAAGGGATTAGGTGAGGAGAGGAAACTCAGGCCCGCCCAAAGCAGCAGGACAGGAAAGCAGGAGAAGGGATAAAAGCCAGGAACCCGGACAGAAGAGCAGTAAGCCCCAGGGATACAGGTGAGGAGAGACAACTCAGGGACGCCCAAAGCAGCAGGCCAGAAGAGCAGGAGAAAGGGGATTAAAAGCCAGAAGCCAGACAGAGGAACAGTCAGCCACA